TGCGTGGCTGAGGAACTACATCGACGTGGGGTTGACCGCGACGAGCTTGGTACGCATTCAATGCGTAAGGGTGCGGTAACGTAATGTGCGTCCGCCTCAACGGCATGTCCGTCATCGACAGCGGTTCACCTCCGTGCTGGATGGTCGTTGGGAGGGGTACAGAATACGTATCTTCGATACGAGTCAGCGGGGGACATGCATGTTGGTCGAACTGTGTCAGGTCTCCCACCAGACAGCCACGAATTTGCAGTGCTGCCCCCTCATTTTGAAGAACGAGATGAGACAATTGAGAACGCTATTGACTGTGCTTTTCCCGGCATGCCCGCCAACCTCACGTATATTGGAGAATTTTGCTTGGCTTCACTTGTGTACCATGAGCCGTATCTCCGACTAAATATCCCCAAATGCCACCCTCTGTTTGAGCCACCGCTGTTTCAGCATCCAACTTTACTATCCGATCTTTTGGCCAAATTGCGTGGTATCAAAGATCGTACTGGCCGGCTGCATGCTACAGGTGTGCCACCGTATGTAGCCATCTTGGGCAAGATGAAAGGCTTATTAGAGGCTACGTTGCAAACTGTTGAGCATATTGGTGCAGCAAGAGCGTCCACGGTGAAGGAGATAATGTCAGAACTTGAGAAACGTGCAATTGGAGCTGGAACGGTGACATTTGAAGGGCTAGATCTAGCTCTGAAACGATGTCTTGATACTGTCGGCGTGATGGATCTTGTGAACAAACTAAACACAACTCCTGTACAGACAACTTGTCAACTAGTTGAAGGCGAGACACCCGTGATCCCATCTTTTTTCTGGGGTGGACGCTTCCGCCGAGTACCGCAGGAGTTTCAGCTTCCTGACTGTTCCGTGGCGACACTGTGGGTAATGTGGCAGTGTGGCAACGCGACAAAGAAGATCCCTCCACTGCGTATGCTCGATGGCCTGGATATGCCGAATAGAAACATGCAAAAAAAGACTTAGTGACATTCGCTACCTCATGAGCAGTGTCGAGGCCGAAGCACGACGTATCGGTATGTGGCCAGCTCGGCAGAATGTAGAAGAAGCTGTGAAGACGTTCTCCGCGTGTGTAAGCGTCCGTGCTGTACCTCATCTTACAGCGAAGAACCGCAAACGACGTCAAGGTCAGCTCAGCTGGAAAACGGTGGTGGCCTTGATGCGCAGACACCAGAAGTAGCACTGAATGATTGGTTCTGTTTTTGCGTTAACTACTACACGTCATTGGTAGAAATAAGGTTATTCTCATGTCCTGCATGTGTCCTGCAAAATCCGTCTAACAAGCATTTCTATTTTATACTCAGATGTCTTCTGGTGATTAGCAAATGAAACTTGATGCTTGATCTGACTTGAAAAGTAATAAGACAGAATGTCACGTTCAAACTCGGCATTACGAGCTTATTCGGCTATATAAACACAGCTGTGTATATATGCCTCCAGCAAGGCTAGATGACTCCTAAATGTTGCAAAGAAGTATGAGCCGTATTTGGTATTGCCAACAAACTTGATCGAAGGTTTAGCTGGCGAACAAGTCTGCAAGTATGGCGATTTCGCTCAATAGACACATTACGAGACTTCAGCCTCTATGTCTAATAAAGGCGAGGTGGCTTATTCTAAGTTAGAAGTATAGTTAGAATTTCTAACTATAATTCGCCACTCAAATTAATGGGCAGAAATTGCACCATCATCGGTTCTATACCCTGTTTTGCAGATATGCAAATCCAATTAAGATAATATTAACGCTAATAGGGAGAGGACATTCTAGCCGCGTTTCGCAACACCAACATCCTCGCACAAACTGAACAAAAGGTTCAAATAGTCCTGAACTACGTTCCGAAAAGAATATTTTTATGATTGGACGAGAAGCTTTGTGGAACGACTGAATGGGACCCAAAAGTATTTTCTCTATGCGATTGCTTATGTGCTCTTATCTTGGTTATTTTCAGCAGACAGAGTGCGCGTGCTCTGCCTCCAAGAATAATGCAAGCAATAATGGGGTTTTGGTTTCTGGGACAATGCCTGGAAGAAAACAAAATCTGTTTTACATTACATTCGCGTTTTATATGCATTTTTCCACAATCGGTAGTCCTTAGTGGATGACAAGATTTAGCGACAGCTACAATTGTAATTGACCTTTTTTTATTCTAATCGCCTTTCTATGGCTGCCCACTGTCTACTTAGTAGTAGTTATTATGAGTGACAAAATAGTATTATCACAAAGCAGTATACAACCAACGCAAAGAGTGTCTGCATGCCACACATATGTGCCACAGCATGTGGGCCTTGTCGCACGTTCACGTCGTGCACACATCTATGCGGCACAGACAGTAGGACGCAACCACGGACCATCCATTCCGTGGTTGCGTCCCTGTAAATCATCCAAGCAGTCAGCTCATTTGGCAAACTCCTCTGGAGAGTGCAACCAAGCCAACCAGTGCGCGGCGTGCCTCGGGCTTGTTCGCCGGCATGGCGGCGCCCGCGCACCGTCACCATCATTCACTACAAAATGCAGGCGACCCCTACAACGTGGTGGACGGCTTGAGCGGGAGGTACTGCAAGAAGGCTGGTTTCGGGCGGCTTGTGCGGGACGTGTTGAAGGGATAGCCCCTGTGCCGTCCTAGCTGAAGGCCGTGCGGAATTGGCACTATTACAGTAAATGACGTGCTGTTAAGTTCCTGTTATGAAAAACGGTATATTAAATGTATTAATACAATGTAAATGTAATTATTCTCTCTCCTCTCAAGTGCATATCCATCGTCTTCTGCTTTAGCTTCAATGTAAGCTTTCTCTACCTTACGTCGCTTGCGCTGCAGATACTTACGGCGTTCGCCGGAGGGAAGGTTTGCTGCGGGCTCCCATGTTGGCTCCCATGCGGTAAGGAATAGAACCCTTCCGTTCTCGCGGCGGTCGTCGAGAATCGTCCGCATCTGGTAGGTCCGCTGGGCTGTCTAGCTCACTCCAGCTGGCAGAACCCATTCCGCTTCGCCCGCATCATCACCTTGACGTGTAGCTTCAATGAGACGGGCTTAATGATGCGGGCTTGCGGTACGGCGTCAAGAAGATGCCGGATAGCGCCTCCAACGTCGGTTGACGAGCTGCGTTGAATAAGGCCCCACGACCTTAAAAATCGGGCGGCCTCTCGATCGAGGCGGCCCCACCCACGCTGCTTTAGATGCTAACTCTGTCGAGGAAGCGAGTGTAGCGAGGGCGGAGGTCGTTCCCAGGGGTAGTCATCGTGAGGGCAGATTTCGATATGAACATCGATAAAGTAGACGTCAGATTGATATATATTTATAGTTTCGTTTCGTGCATCTATTTATAATTTTAAGAAAGTTGTTTCATTTAGGCGCGTTCTAATTATTGATGAAGAGAAGTTTCACAAGAAAAACAATCAATTAACGTTTTGCAAGAAAGCTAGCCCAAGCAAAAAAAAATCAAATTATTCAAACGTGTTTTTATCAACGCAACACTATATAAGGGTTAGTCCATGCAAAGTGCGTGACCGTTTGTCTGAGGACGACCAGCAGGAACCTGGGTACTCGCGCCGCTAATACAGAGAGTTGCTTGCCGGGTGCGACGGCGTTTTATCGCAACCGTGCGATTCACGAGGGTTCTCTTTTCATCCAAATCAGTTTAACTCTTAACTTGAAGAGCAAACAAAAGGCGAATGGAAATTGCGAACTTGAAGTAACGCTTGCACTCACACGTCATCGTAGTAACGTCGACGCTCCAGCCACCATTCGGCTGACCCTCCGTCTCCATGCGAGCGTATTTGGTGCCCATCTGAGCCGGGACAGGGGCTGTTTCTCTA